CTTACCCTATCAATATTTTGAAATATGTTGTTGTTTTCTATTATTTTTCTTTGTATTTGCCGTAATGTTATGGCGTTATTTTCTAGAACCATGTTTATGATTTCAGTCTCCTGTTCAGGCCCCCGACCACCTCGTGTTGGTAATCTTTCAGTTCTGCAATACAAATAGTATAGTGCAAAATACTGTAAATAGGCCTACTGTGTAGGAATACAAAGTAGGAAAACATTTCCCAAATACTTGAAACATACTTTACAGTATTTTCACAGTCTACAGAACAGTCCACATGCAATACTGTACTCATTGAGTACAGTGAGATTTCTTACCTATTCTCATTTCGAAAAGTCCGGATGATGGATGCTACAGTGTACCTGCTCAAATTTGGCTGTACTCTTTGCCCAGCCTCCCTCATTGTTAGACCATGGTTGACCACATGGTCAACCAAAGTGGCTTTGATCTCAGCAGAGATTACATTCCTTGGCCTTCCTCGTCCTCCCCGTCTTCCTCCTCTTACTCTCACTCCTCTGGCTCTGCCTCTGTTTCCAACGTTGGCATCCATTGCTCCAAAACTGAAGAGCTCACCTGTTGCCCTTTTATAAAGCTCTGATTTCTAAATTGCAATTATGTGTAACAGGTGTTTACCCATGTGATGAGTTACTATGCAAAGTAAGGCAACTGACTGTACAATTTTGAATGACAGTGTGTTCCTTGTGAAAACAAGAGATTTTATTCATGAAAATTGTGCCAAATTCAGAGAATTGTGTTTAGTGTTTTGAAAAAAGTGTGTTTTAAAACTGCAATTTGAGTGTAAAGCAGGAATTGTGCTTGTAGTTTAGCAGAATTGGTTCAGGGGGTTGGTGCATCAGTTACATGTTGTAGTCATTGTATCTCAAGTACAAGTAATTGTGTGTAAACAACTAAGAAAAACTGTAAATTCAGTGCCATCAAAGTATAAAAAAAGAAACAATGTTCACCTGACTTTGAGAGAGCTTGTAAACATTTTCTACACACAACCAAAAGCACTATAAGTACATTTTTAGAATACTTATTTTTATAAAAATATCATTAATATTGGAATTATTTTTACTTTTATTATGCAATTTTTATTGCTGAAGAGGGCGAGGAAAGATTTGTACCTGAACAAGATTGAGGAAACAAAACCGAATAAGATTTTTGTCCAAAAAGTCTCCTGTGAAGTGACCATCATCCTGAAAGGTTAGAAATAAGTTTATCCAGAACTGTGCACTTTGTTTGCGGAGGGTACCCCACCATCCCTCAATGCGCTGGTTTGCTGTGCTTCTTCCATAAAGAAAACTTCTCTCCCCTGCAAAACTGTCTGGGTCGTTTCTGCGCAAAAACATCTGCATTTCTTCTACACAGCCGTTTTCTGTACCCCTGTCTGCACGAATCCTCTCTGGACATCCACCTATGGATGAAACTGTTTTGATGAAGTAGCTTGCAACTACTTTAGGATCATTGTTCGTGGTATAGGCCTCCATCCATAACACATAACGGCTGAAACCGTCTATACAGCCATTAATGGCAATGCCATAGGGTTTTAATTTATCATAGCCGTCCATGTGCCAAAGTGCATTTGGTCCTCTACAGCTGTACTGGCGTCTTCTCAAACGCCGTGATCGTCTTAATTCCACACCTTGTGGATCAACCAATTTGATGATGCGTCTTATTGTATCTTGTGACACAACAAATCCTTGTTGAACTGCGCGAAGATGTAGCCAGCGGTAACCCTGCATCTGTCCATTAGTCATAATCTCATGTTGGACAAAAGCCAGCACTTCGTCCAGGTCTGACTGGTTTCTCCTTCTGAATAGACCTAGTCTTTTACAAATTCTCTTTAGAGTTCGGACACTTATGACTATCTGATTGTTGTGTGCTAAAAGTGTGAGTATTTCTTTGTTAGTAAAAGAAAGTCTGAAGTACAGTCTGATTAAGTCATCCGCATATGGCATTGCAGGCATTGTTGTAAGCAGAAAAACTGATAAAACTTATGTGATCATTTCAAATTAAGACTTTTGCAGAAATTGAAAAGAGCAATTCAGTCTCCATATAGGAAAGGATATAATTCACCAGAGTTGCATCATCCACCAGCCCAATGACTTCACTATCAATCTGCATGGAAGAAGGAAAAAAAAAGTCAGAATTCTGAGAAAAAAGTCAGAATTCTGAGATTAAAGTCAGAATTCTGAGAAAAAAGTCAGAAT